CCTGAAATTCTTTGAAATTCTTTTTACATCTAAAACTATTGAAAAAATTTGGGACTTAATAGAAGCTCCCTCCGAAAATTTTAGATGGTGGGCAGTTTAGAAGCTCCCGGGGGCTTCTATTATGGGAGGGGGTTTATGTTTGTATCCAAAGGCTGCAACAGAATTGTAACAAACGGCAGTTCTCCATTTGGACCCAATATACACTCATAGAGTGCGGGTGTGGATGGTCCTTTTCCAACAATAAAAGACCGCAGCAGAAGTCTCCCACTGATATCCTGAGTTTTAGTACGTAAAATTTCTCTCGTTTATTAGTATACTTCGAGGATCCTTGAATTGCACTTCGGTAGACTTGCTATAGACATGGTTCATTTTTTGTTCTTTTGATAGTCCTCCCAGAAACATTTTTGGAGATCCAAGGCTGATTTTCTTTATGATTGTAGCCCACTGACCTAAGTGAGCCAAAAAACCTAGGAAGACGACCACTATAAGTAGTCCAAAATATCTGCGATATCCATCTGGTCTAGTCTCAAATGTCTTGCAAATTCATAATGACCAGTCAAATTTTCAAGACCTGTCCTTAGACTGAGTAAAACGTAGTCTACTGTGTCCATCGAACCTATCCCAACTAGTCGAGAGACTAAAAGAAAGAGATGAAGGGTAGGTTTGAACTCTCACCCAAAACTAATCAAAAAGCTGTTAGCGCAATCCCTTGCGGGATTAAAAATGTGAAACACGATGTACCTGCTGTTGCCAATCTTATAAAAATTGTTCTTTTTTATGCATATTGGTGTACATTTCTTCATCGTGGCTTACTTTACATTATAGAACTGAAACAGGATAATACCTCATATATGCTCCAATCATGTGTTAGTTATGCATTATCTCTGATGCTTCCTTGAACTCTTCTTTCACAGTCTATGATGATCCCTGGAGCTTGTCTGTCACGGTCTGTGATGGGTCCGAAGGTTCTCTGTCACGGTCTGTGATGGTCTCTGGGATCCTCTGTCACAGTCTGTGATGGGCTTTGGGGTTCTCTGTCACGGTCTGTGGTGGGTATTAGGGTTTCTCTGTTATGGTCTGTGATGGGTATTTAGTTCCTCTGTCACGGTCTGTGATGCGTCCGAAGGTTCTCTGTCACGGTCTGTGATGGGTCTAGAGATTCTCTGTCACGGTCTGTGATGGGTATAGAATTTCTCTGTCACGATCTGTGGGGGGGGGGGGGGGTCCAAATTTCTACCCCTAAACACTTCCACACTCCTTTCAGATCGTGTTTCACAAAAGTGATGAGTACCTTGACGTAGGACTAGAACAATGAAAAGAACATACGTCGATTTGTACAACCTAAATTACGAACCGATGTTTGGTTCATGAACTAGATACATGGAAGTCCGTGAATGTCGAACTACTTTGATTAGTCTGAAATGCCTTCAGTGGTAGTCAGGATAAGGTTGAGAGGTTACTTAAGGGTGTCATGACTAATCATTTTCTAAATAGTGTGACTTCAGTTTGAATTCAGACTAATCCAAAAAATAAGAATATCTCTTTTTATTTGCACTCAATGTATTATTGACGCCCTTGGATTGATAAATAATGGAAATTAAACGAGACTGATATTAAATAGAAATTGTTTCACTGTATGTATTATTTTGTGAAATACGAGCTGAAAAGAGAGTTGAAGTATATATAGGCAGAAACCTGGGTCTAAGCTGTGAATTTGGATGTACATGTGGATGAATGGACATTCTGTATCAAAGCAAACATCCATACCCAGGAGTTTTTTATCGAAATACAAATAATCCGAACCACGAAGAAAATGTATATAATTTGTAGCTCTTCCTTTAACGCCAAGATTCTCTTAAATAAAACACGATAAGGAAACTTTGAACAAAAAAAAAAGTCATCTCACTTATCAATATTGAGATCTCATCGAACTCCATAACAAGACAGTTGATATTTGAAAGTTTTTTCTTTGCAAGATCATCAGCATTTTACAATTATTCTTTATACTTTTTTCGGATCGAACTTCTAAGTAAAGACTTCATGTGCACTTATCAATTACACAGTTTATCGCGATGACCTCACAGTTTCTTTAAAGCAGCTACGCGCATGTCTATAGTAGATTTTGGTTCAATCAGAAACATATGAATTTTTTATGATAGAACATATTCCTATGAGATTAAATATTCCCATAATCAATTCATATTGATCTTCCTGTAGTATATCAAACAAATCAAATGTATTCAAATTTACAATCGTTTTTATTAGCGAATAGAGTCGATCATAATTATTTAATTTTCATTCTGATGAAGAAGAAAAAAAGAACTTCTGCATTCTGAAATATAAATCGAATGCCACGATCCAGTGATACAATGATTACTTATACAGACAGTTAGTGAATATTTTACGAAGCTCGAAAGCGAGTCTCTTAGATTATGAGAGATGTAGTAAGAAGAAACATCTGGTATCTTTTTCATATATACTTCATTCATGTCACATTTCAGTAGAGTAGCTTCACAATTTACTATTTTTTTTTGTAGGTGCTTCATCGACCAAGAAAAAGACGGGAAGCAACAAATCTTCAGTAATTATTTAAAAGATTGCTTTTTCTTTTCTTTCTGTCTTTCGTCCTTGTACTCATTAATTTTATTTCTAGAATGATGCAGCTGCGGCTTCACCATCAGTCAGTACCGTTGCAAAGGAGGTCAGATTGATAATAATTATTTTAAATTGCAAATTCACTTCCATGGATCTTGTAATCATTATAGAAATCCAACATGAAAATCGAAAGATCACCAAATAAAGGTAGGAAAAACAATATTGACCATGCTAACTATTAGTGCGATAAATATTCTTGTGCAAAAAGAATCTTACATGTGTCATATTAGTTTGATTGTTTTTGACATGGATAGAATACAAAGGAATAATAACTTGATAATTCTGATAGAGTAAATGTTCATTGGGCCTTGTACTTAAATTTATTTTCTTTTTATTCCTATATCATACATCTAAACTGAAGAGTGTGTACTGTACAGTTCCCACAAATAGTTTTCATCATATGAAATGATTCGAATGTGCACCTTATCGGTATTACTACAATGTGCTGTATATCAAATAAAAAGTACATTATTTGAATTAAGTGATTTAATTTACTTTGTTAGACAATTAATCGCGTCAGGAAATATTCTCACTTGCAATATTATTCCTCTAATTTTCGGAGCATGAAAGGCTCAAAAACCTATTTAGAAAACTTTCAAAACTACCTTATTCAATGATTGAGCAACTTTTCAAAGCATGAAAAGTTATTCCTTAAACTACTAAGCGAATTATATAGATTAAGAAAAAACATATGTTGCCTTCTTTTCTTGTTGAATTTTGTACCTTAAAATTTTCTCGCAGGTCTCATCCACATTCACACCCTTTCCTTTATTTGCGAGGAATTGAACCGGCATCTATCTGAACGCAATCATCTTATATAAATATAATTCCTATTGAATCATGAGTGTTCTACGATTTAGATGTTTCAGACAGGTGATCAAATAAAATGATACTAATTATATTTTTGTCGACCGAATTACTTGTGGAAGGGTGTGAGGCATGGGTGTTGACGAGGGCTGTACAAATACAAGTACATTTTGTACTCTGAATTACATACGATCTAAAGTCTAGAATTTGAAGACTTTGAAGAATTTGTATCATGTACTCTCATGTACTCTCATGTACTCTCATGCATTGGTCAAAAGGTCTAGAAGGGTGTGGGTGTAGGTGTGGATATGCGATTGACCACACCTACACCTACCCCTACACCTACCCCTACACCTACACCCACCCACACACACCCACACCCACACCCACACGCATACCCACACCCACATCCACACTCATGAGAGTACATGAGAGTACATGATACAAATTCTTCAAATCCTAGACTTTTGGACCCAATACATGTGAGTACATGATACAAACTCTTCAAATTCTTCAAATTCTAGGCTTTTCGACCCAATACATGAGAGTACATGAGAGTATATCGATTGTTGATAAAAATATATGAGTAAGTCGCAGTACAAAATGTATTTGTATTTGCGCATCTCTGGTGTTGACAAAGAAATCGTGTAACCCCACGCCCACTCTCATTTCAGAATGCATTTTCATCACGATATGAATAAGTTACTTTAATTTTTGAGAATTGCACAATAATAAAAGAAAAAGAAACTATATGTACCAAAGCTAAGAATACTTTATTTCATATTTCTTTTCCTCTTCCAGAACATAATGAAAATAATATTTTCTAATCAGAAAATTACATCTAAATTTTATGAGTTAGACATTAAAAGTACCAAAAAAACGTTTTTTATGAGTTTTTATTTTTGTTTCACCTCTCATGTGCTTTCATCTCTTCAGATTGACTGAAAACATCGACTACTTAAATTATTAAAAGAAGAAAACACCTAACTTCTATAATGATGGAATCGTTTATTAGTCAGTTTGAAAATGTAGTCTATTTATATTGGAGGGGGTGGGTGTGGGTGTGGGTAGGTGATGGACAGAAGACCCACACCCACACCTACACCCACACCTACACCCACACCTACACCCCACACCCCACACCCCACACCCCACACCCCACACACACACCTACACCGCACACACACCCACACCCACACCTACACCCCACACCCCACACACACACCTACACCCCACCCACACTCACACACACCCCACACCCACACCCAATTATGCTTTTCCAGCAGAATTGTGTTAGAATTTTGATTCCCTAGCAGAATTGTGTTTCATCATATACATATATCCCTTCATGAAAATCAAAATTCTAAGCAGAATTTTGATTTTCCAGCAGAATTTTGTCAGAATTCTGTTTTCCTGGCAGAATTGTGTTTCATTATAGCTTCATCATATACATTGTCATATATACTTATCTCTGCTAAGAGACAAAATTCTGCATGATTTGAATGACGAGAAGATTTTCTATTATAACTTCGTGACGTTCATCGACTACGTTTACTACGTAATGATGTTAATGAGCGTGCATCCGTATCAACATCAACTTCAACATTAACATCAAAATGATCATCAGCATCAACATCTTCTTCAACATTATCATCAACATCAACTTCAATATCAGCATCAACTTCAACGTCAACAACAACAGCAGAATTATGTTTCATTATAGCTTCATCATATACATTATCACATAACATGCGGTGCAAAAGTCTTTGCACAAATGTGAAACTGTCTTAGACCGTCTTGCTGACTTCTAAACCAATCAAAGTTTTTTCATTGGAAAGAGCAAAGTCTAAGCTATAAATTTTGTACGAAAGATATTTTTCCACAACGAATCTGAGAAGGAGAAAAAGTCAAAAACCAAACTCCTCTAAAAAAGTCCCTGCAACTTCACTATCGAGTAACATCATTTTCTATTTTCTATTAGTTTTTTTTCATCAGAAGAGAAATGAGAAAACACGTTAAATGATGATTTTTGTAGCATAAAGAGTGCTCTTTCCAATGGTATATTGGAAGTTAAATTTACTCTTGGTTTTTGCACCAAAATATATCTTTCCCTGAAAGAGACTAAATAAGTTGGTCGTTCTTACTACCTGGCCGTTTCGCAACGATAAAAAATATTTTTTGAATTATTTTTTTCTGCAAAATTTCTACGATCGGACATATTTCGAACAAATAACGCAAAAAGAATTGAGTTCATGCATGATTTCCGAAGATGATGGCTGATTATCTTGGAAAGTGATAGTTTTTGTAAAAGGTTCGATTTCACAAAAAATTTCATGTTTAAAACGATTTTGATTAAAGAGCCAAGAACGGACCTAAAACTTTTATCCATATTGATATCGATAGAGTTTTTGATGCGCTACATTTTGATGTATTTTTTGTTCAAGTTTGATACATGGAGCTCGGAATAATTGAGAAATACAAACTTTTCAAGTTGCAAAAACGTTGCAAGCACTTTTTTTAGAGGTATTCGGTTTTTTACTTTTCCTCCTTCTTAGATTCGTTTTGGGAAAATATGTCTGGTACAAAATTTGTAGCTCAGACTTTGCTCTTTCCAACAAAAAAACGTTTGATTGGTTTAGAAGTCGGCAAGACGGTCTGAGAGAGCTTGACATATGTGCAAAGACTTTTGCACCGCATGTTATACTTAACTCTACTAAGAAACAAAATGGAGGTCATTAATGTTGGTGTTGATGCTAATGGTGACATTGATGTTGCTGTTGGTGTTGATGTTGAAGTTGATATTGAAGTTGATATTGATGTTGAAGTTGATGTTGATGTTGATATTGATGCTGATGTACGTTCATTAACATCATCACGTAGTACACATAGTCGATGAACATCACGAAGTTATAATAGAAAATCTTCTCGTCATTCAAATCATGCAGAATTTTGTCTCTTAGCAGAGATAAGTATATATGACAATGTATATGATGAAGCTATAATGAAACACAATTCTGCCAGGAAAACAGAATTCTGACAAAATTCTGCTGGAAAATCAAAATTCTGCTTAGAATTTTGATTTTCATGAAGGGATATATGTATATGATGAAACACAATTCTGCTAGAAAAACATAATTCTAAGCCGAATTTTGATTTTCATGAAGAAATATGTGTCAGAGATGGAACCGGTCTACCTTTTTTCAGACCGATACCGGCACGGGTCTGAAGAAAGGTAGACCGGACCGGACCGGCCGGTATACCGGTCCAAACCGGTCTACGGTCTAAACCGGTCTACCGGTCCAAATCGGTCTACCGTTCTAAACCGATCTACCGATAGTGACAGGATACTGATGATGCGCCAGTTTATCAGGAAAACCCGACCTATCGATAAAATATCGATCTGCAGACAACAGGCCGAAGCTTAAAATGAAATCTTCTTGTGCAGTGAACTCTCTGGTGGGTTACCTTCGTACCTTGAATACAATCATAGAGCAGGAAAATGAAAAATATAGACCAGTATAGACCGGTTTGAACCGGTCAGACCGGTATGGACCGGTAGACCGGTCGATCCAAAATCCAGACCGGTACCGGACCGGACCGGACCGGACCGGACCGGCCGGTAACCGGTACCGGTTCCATCTCTGATATGTGTATATGATGAAACACAATTCTGCTAGGAAATCAAAATTCTAACACAATTCTTCTGGAAAAACATAATTCTAAGCAGAATTTTGATTTTGAAGCATAGATAAGTGTACATGACGAAACTGTGATCAAACACAATTCTGCTAGGAAATCAGAGTTCTAACACAATTCTGCTAGAAAAACATAGTTCTAAGCAGTATATGCGCAACAGAGTTATTATTGTTTTACTACATTATTATAAGAATTTTATTAAGATAAAGCGATTGTGGATGTAAATAATGGTAAGTATATGCAGAACACAGAACTCTTAAATTTTGCTTGTGAGAATTGTGTCACCCCTCTTTGTCTCTGTATAAGGAAAGTATACAATATTTCTTCTCAATATGAACAAGCAGCCGTGACCAGTTTCGTCCTTGCTTAAGGATTCATCAAACGGTATGTCCAAATTCATCATTATCAATTAATGATAATAGCGAAACTGTTTAATCTATCCCTATCAAAGACAGAGAAGACACAGTGTTAAGTATGGCTACTCAATATGAACAAGCAGCCGTCTGATGAATCTGTTAAGTAAGGACGAAACTGGTCATGGCTGCTTGTTCATTTTGTGTTTTGTACAGATCTTCGTAGATAAAATGAAGCAAATATAAGTTGAAATTCACTATCCTACTTGTTAATAAAAAGTAACGAAAAGCGGGGCAAAAACCAGGCGAGACAAGTCTGTAAAAAGTGAGAGTATCCTGCCAAAAGCGGGAAGTTTGGCCATCTTGGCGAGGTGTCTCAACTTTTCGAAAGCAAATTTCGATAATTTTTCACTGAATTCGTGAAGTACTCGAAAGTTGGCGGCGATTAACTTTTCACCGGCTGAACCAAATGCGCTAAAGGTATGATTGTAGAGATTTTGGATATTGTTCATTGTGATGAACAATTAAAATGAAAAAAGTAATAAAATTTGATCGATTTTTCGATTTAGAGCATGATCGTTGATATTATAATGAAAGCTCTCTTAATAAAGCGACGAATTTTTTTAGAGAAAAGTGATATTTTCCGACATACACCGACGACAATGTCCATAAACGTGGAACGATGGTTGACAATCGTAACTATAGCCATTGATGTAATGAATTTGGCGGAACAATTAAGCGTCTACTTTGTCCAAAAATCCCAAAGCTTGACTGATGAACAAGAACGTTTTTTCTTTTACATCCTTATCCCAATTGCGTTTGCAAATCTACTTAAAGTCATTCCCTCCAAAGAACGAACTAAAAGTGTGATTTCACTGTTGATTGAAATCGTTGAACTATTTGCCTATCTATTTGTTCTGAAGCGAACAACAAGTCTTATGGCAGTGGCTTTGACATTCTTTTTTTTGGAGTTGGTTCTCCACCTGATTGCTGTATACTTAGCCGAGAGTGAGCAAGTACCAAATTCCTGTGGAAAAAAGATATATAGTTTATTCTTACGCTTCATTCAATACGGCGCCGCCAGCTTCGGACCAATTCTAACGTTATTTCTTCAGCCAGATTCACGATTTCGCCAAACTTATTTCGAAGTATTAGTGATTTGCAACGTATTTTTATCTGGAACAGGGTGTGATGATCTTGTGGGACGTATTGGGCTCACCCCTGCTGAGCCACCCGTAAATAATAGTCCTGAAGGTCCTAAATCCAATTCGAATTTCTTCACAGAGCTCTTCAAGAAGGCTCCGCATCATGCAACTCGAATTCAGACGTGTTGGGCCATGTTGAACGCTTGCCTAAGTACCCTTACATTTTTCATTAGCATATTTACGATCATTGTGTTTGCCAGCTTAGAATTACAGAAAGGATCAAATTTAAAAACATACGACCGAGTTGTCTACACTATATACCTAGTCATGAATTCATTACTTCTATCGTGTATCTGCTGCTGCGTATGGGGATTAGGTTACTGTACTTATCGTCACCAAAAATCGCGAATTCACGCCATAGAAAACAAGGATGTCGGCTAAGACACAAAGAAGTTAAGTTGCTGATTATTGGATGTGATTTTCTGCTAAAATTACGATGATATCCAACCATCTCCATGGTCCCTCATTTTCGTAACAAAAATTTATACTTCAATGACCGGTGTGGGTGTGGGTGTGGGTTTATCTTAGCTTCACTATCACCGACACCTACACCCACACCCACACCCATACCCATACCCCACACTCACACCCACACCCAAATTCTCGATTTGTACTGAACAACTGATTGACGAATATGAAATAAAAAATTATTTTATAGATGTTGAAGAAATAAAATTCTTCCATTCTTTTTATCATTGTAAAAATGTTATGTTTTTAGAGAGATTATGAAAGCAATGTTCATTCACTTCCTGAATATTTATTCGATTGAATAACATTGAGATAAAAGCATTATGTGAATTTTATTTTTATTTGAACAAAAGTTTATTGTAAATTGATAGAAAAAAAGAAAGGATGAATTGTTTAAGAAAAGAAACAGGTGTCTGCATAGAATACTTGTTTATCATGATTAGGAAACGTCGATAAATAACTACAGCGACAAAAACCGTCAAAATCAAAGCAAGAAAAGACAATATTAATAACATTTGTAATAAAGACTAATCAGAGAAGGTGAAAGCAAATAGAAGCAATACGAGACAGAAAAATATAATAAATTGATTAAAATAGTCAATCTCTTTTCGCCATTGTTCTATCAATGCAATATCGGAAAGATATTCAAAATCTGAAGCATTTATCTTTGATGAAACAGGAGAATGAATTTCCGATGTTAACATCTATTAGAAACAAAAAAGAAAACTTTAATATTATATAAAATGAAGAGAAAACTTACTTTCGAAATACATGCCATTATTCTGCAAGATGTCTATTCGATTGAAAAACAACGATGAATCCAATTGATTTATAGATACAGATTCAACAATGATCGTCGATTATGTTGCCGATCTATTGTTTTCATATTAATGATGGAATTGACAAAAGATATTCTCTGAATTTTTCCACCACACAATTGGTCAATCCGTTTATTCGAAACAATTCATATTCATGTTTAGTTTGGCGAAGTTTCAAACTTGTCTAAGGTGAATTCACTGTTTTTTTGATTGAACTTGATTTTTAAGAACTATATGAGAAAGAAAGATAGAAACAAAATAAATGCCAAGATTATTTGCAATTACATTACTTTGTCAATCAATGGCAGATTATTTCGTTGAAGACAAAAGAGTTGCGGCGCCAAAATATTCCAGAAATGGAGCGCGCAATTACAGGGTGTACCAAAACTATAAGACCTCCTTTTATTTTTGAAGTTTTTCCACAAAAACGGACAGCTAGGTAAAATCTAAATAGTGATTTGGATAGCCCTTGAAAATCTCTATCGAATACAGTATGAGTCAGAATTTCCAAAGAAACTTAGTGAAGAGAGTTTTCCGGAAAACCGTTTCACCTAAAAAGTGAATTTTTGAGAGTTTTGACAAAAACGTTTTTAAATATAGTCATCTAAACGAGCAAAAAATTCTGAGCAAAATGAGTGGTTGGCCAGCTCTCCACGATGTTTCCTCGCAGAGTTATAAGCACCAGAAAAATGGGAGGGTGTGGGTGTGGATGTGGGTGAGGGTGTGTGGGGTGTGGGGTGTGGGTGTGGGTGTTGGTGTTGGTGTGGGTGTGGGTGGGTTGTGGGTGTGGGTGTGGGTGGGTTGTGAGTGTGGATGTGGGTGTGGGTGTGGGTGTGAGTGTGAGTGTGGGTGGGTGTGGGTGTGGGTGTGGCTTACCGAATAGGAGATCCTGAGGCATATTCACATCCACAGCCACCCACACCCACACCCACACCCACGCACCCACACCCACACCCACACCCACACCCACACCCACACC